TGTGTTATCTTTATGTTATTTAGATTAATGAACTATTAGCTTAATACACATTTAGTATAAGATATTATATTAGATATGAAATTTATTTATTATTTGTAATATTAATTGCTTGTTATGTTAGTATGTTAGATAATTGAATTATCTTATTATTGTGTAGTTAATTCATTTTGGTAAATCGTGCAGCTAGTTACTAGCTTTATACATTTTATTGTTTGATTTAATTACGGTAGCTTAGATAATAAGGTTGTATGTGTATGGTATAATTGAATTGGGTGGTGATGTTGAGATTAGGGGTGGGAATGTTGTTTGCATTAACTATTGCCGACGGATGGGCGTATGGCGATTTGATATTTTGTGCAATTGTTTTGATATTTTATCAGGTAGATAGTCATTTTATGGGATGCTGTTGCTGCCTGACTCGACTTTTCGGCGACTAGAAAAATAATATATATCGGTTTATAAAAAAGAAAATAATAATAATAATTTCGGTTGGACAATTAAAATCAGAACGTCAAGAACTAAAGAAACAATAGTGTTCCGGTTAGAAAAATCAATTTTATACATATAGAAAATAAATTAAATCTCGAGATATAAATTAGTAGAAGAAGGTTAGATATAAACTCAAAATTTCTTAGAGTGGTAAAGAAAAGATTTGTCTGATAGATATTATTTTTCCTGCTGTGGGTCTATCTTTTTACTCTTAGTCGCCCTTAGTGTTTCTATAGTGCTCTCCAGTGCACATCGAGCTAGAATTTTCGCCTTCCATCACTGTGAGCTAATAATAAATTGCTATCAAATTGCATTTTGATTCATTTATTTATAACATTATATTTTTATTTACATATTACAATTATTATAAGTATTTTATTCATATATATAGTATTGTTACGTCTACATATATCGTCTATATTTATATTAATTGTGCATTTTGGATTGAATTGGTGTATTATAGATGAATGAAATGTTTGATTATTTGTGTGTGACTTATGTGAGTTGTTTGGTGTGGCACTTCGGCTGAAGTGGCCGTCACATGGGTTGTGAGACTGTTTCTGCTTTATGAGATCCTGATTCTGTTTCTGTAGCCTGGTTAAAAGGAGAGAGAATCGGCGCCCCGTGCTGCACCCCTCCACCGTTACGTTACTGTTAACCACAGGTGTTCTTTACAACTTGGGATGACGCGACGCATAATCCCCTAGATTTTGATCGCTAGCCGCCGGGTTGGCCTGCCTGTTGTGAGCGCCCACCTGTATGACTCTAGATTTGATGGAGCCACGACCCGCGTTGCCTACCTGTTGGTATGGAAAGAAAGACGAAATTGAAAAAAAACAACAATGGAGAGGATGTGTCCAAGTGAGGATCGTCCAGGCTGCCTAGGCAGTAGGGGGGCGGCTCATGGGGGACCATGTGAGGGGATGGGCATTGTGGGAGGACCGGGCCTCCCTCGGGCGCGGTTCCCCCGGTGACGTACAAGCATAATCCTTGCACGTGATGGTGATTATTTGAAGGTTGATATTGTCTTGTGGGTGCTGATGTAACTGTCTATCTGATTGATTTGTTGTGTGTTCAATTCCCAAAGTACCGGGTGAATTTTTGCTGACCCTGTATTGTGGCGCGGATGTGTATTATTCTTATTATTCCGCTTGAGTTGACCCAAAAATCCAACCGCCACACACCACAAACAACAAAGGTACTAGGTGAAGCACAGATTGATCCCCGACCTGGAGCTCCTGCAAATCTTATCAGCAGAGTGTTACATGTCACTTTATATTTGTTATTTATTTTTGGCTGTATAATTAATGTTGTCTATAAGATTATTTATTGGAATCACGCAGTTATGGGTTTGTGTATGAATATGTGGATTATTAGTTCGTAGCAATTACCCCATATAATTACTATATTATGGGCTCGGCACGTGTGAAACCCGTAGACTCAATATGTGTTTATAATTATTGTGAATAGAACACCACAGCGTTTAGTATCTATTATGTGGTTTATCGAGATTGGGCCAGTTGTTTGTATAGGAGGGCTTACTGTTTTGATGGAATTGAGACTTAGATTGATATTTGGACCTTTATAGGGCAAGGGGGGACTTTAAGTTAAACCCTGCTGGACTTAGTTTAGCACCGGTAGGCCAAGGAAGCGGTCGTGAAAAGTTGGTTATAAGAGCATAAGTTTATAGTTTAGAACTGTAACTGAGTGAGTAATTATGTTCAATTTCTTGACTGTAGCTCTTGCATTTTCACCTTCACGGTTGTTCGAAAGAACTACAAGTCCAACGTTGTTTAATGATTATAGAGATTTGTCACGTTGTTCGTTAGAGAGTGTTTAGTTTATTGATTGTAGTAGACCAATTCTAAACAAAATCTTATTATAGAGTAATTAGTTCATAATATAATTTAAGTTGTAAGAAGATAGTTTGAATTATCTGAATAATAAATTGCAATTCAAATACCTGGTAAGTGTATATTTTTATTTCAATATGGATGAAGTGTTAGAGATACATATTAAAAACAAAAAAAAAAGCTGGACATGGACCGCAGTGGCGTCTGTTATGTCGGCGGGAGATTTGAGAAGTGGTAGTTTTATGTATTAGGACCTAAACGTTCGGTTTGGGAATTCGAATATTATTTAATTGGTCGCCTTTGAATTTAATATTATGCTATTTTGGTGGAAATTTACATTGATGTTGCGTGTGGTGGAATTTATTATAGTTATTGTGCGGGTAATTATTTTTTGGTGGAATGCCTCTAATGAATTAGTAATAAGTACCCTACGTGATTTTTTAATGATTTAAATATTGAGGTTTGGTCCCCTAGTGATTGACTATAATCACATTGCGCAGATGAGTATTTTTTCATAAAGATTATTGGTGAACATTAGAATTTTACAAGCTGATTTTTATTATGAAGAGTAGTAATTCACTGTTGGTTGGAGTAACAGTTGCCTATTGATAGATCATAACTTTAATTTCACGTGTTTGATATAGGGAACTCATATAAATTATTGGTGGTCATACTAGAAAGCGTTAAAACTTGTGATCAAGTAGTAGAGCCGATTTCTTTACCCTCTACTATGTACTGCATTTGTATGGATTGTTGTTCGGTTGTGGCCTCCTTATGGCCTTAATATCGTTACCAAGTAGGATTCTAAATATAATGGTATAGTCTGTTGTATGTTAAATAATGTTGCACACTACGCATTGGGTATGTGTCAATAACCATGATTTTGTTTATGGGAGATTCCTATTGATTTGTGAACCGTCCATTAAGGGAATTTAAGGTACCTCTGAATGTAAATATTGGGCTATGAGATTTAAGAGTATTGCGAGTGAATGGAACCATGGGCTGGAGAGTAATTGTCCTTATTCTAAAATTGATACCTTAATACTAGTAAAATTAGTAAAGTAAAGGTTGGTTCTGTT